TATGCATTTAAACAAAGCACTTTAGCGCACGTGGTTCACACATAAAGGCTGAATGCATTGAAGGGGGAACGCGAGAGACATGGCCCGTGGCGATTAGCTGACGGGCAGCCAGGTGATTCGCGCGGGGTCCTTTTGTGCTTGACTCACCATGGGAATAGCAGGATTCTCAAAACCTCCCCTTCAAGTATGTGTATGGCGAGCAGGGTTGGTCCGGCGGGTTAAGGGCAGTTTCCGGTCTACTGATGCGCGGCCAGGAACTACTTCTGAAAGCGATACATCCGGTGGGGCTTTTACATTCAGTTCGGGGATCGACTGCTCTGCTGGAATGGCAATGGTGTCCAGCAGGATGTCAAGAGGGAGGGAAGCGCCTGATTCAGGTCCAGTTGGGTTACTGCACTGGGTTACTGTGTTGATGAATCCAGGTCTCGTCACCGACAGAGACGTCAAACAGCACGCTACCTCTGTGAACTGTTTTCATCTTCTTAATCCAGTCTGGGAGCCCAGCTCAGTAGACAGGTGTTCCTACGGAATGCTTGCCGCCAGAGACAGCTGGAAGTGACGTGAGAACGGCAGAACTGTCCGAAACGCCAGCAGCCCAGACAGAGTAGGACAAAAGTGCCAGGACTCCAAGTTCCTCCAGGCGCTTCAGTTCAGCATCAACAAGAGGCAGGGCTGCATAGGGAACTGACCTCTTCGGGCGAAAGATTGCTTGACTTCCAGAACAGAGATGGAGCACGGCTTTCGTGTGTGTAACGACCATGGCCGTCTTCGGGCCTTGGAGCCAACCTCTGGGGAATATCCTCAGAGGGGTGTGCAGGTACGGCAGGGATCTGCAGTTGACTGCAAACAAGGCGAAGCAGCAAATCAACCAAGCCAAGTTGTTGAATTCAGTCGAGACCAGGGAGGTTGAGATAAGACTAGGTTATGTAGCACGCAACAGGGATGTTAGTGTCGCGGAAATAATCACAGCATTGCAGTTGTCCCAGAATAGAGGCACCGCATGCGCTTGTGGTGGACTGAGAAAGTTACCGCATTGTGAGGGCACCAAGTGACTGTCAGAGTGTCTCGGAGATGATTGTGATATCTGACGCAGTTTCTAGTTTTAGGGGAACTGTGTGGCCGTTAAGAAATAGGTTAATGAACTTTTGGCGATTAATTGCGTTAATCTAGAATGTGGTCAACAGACTGAGAAAATTATGGAGAGTCGGATTCTTTGACTTGGTGTATAGTTTGAGGCGTCGCTTTGGGTTGAAATTCGCAGGTACGGGCCTGTTTACACAAGCTGAGGATTGGCAGAACCCATCAAAGTACCCCATCTGATAACTGTTCTGGTAGCGATGTTGCCGAAACGTGCAATCCCGATGGAAATACCACGGCCCACATTGCCAACAAGGAGAGGGCGGGGATTTCGCCTTGGGGGCTTGCTTGGGAGGCATAACCAGAGGTGGCTTAGTTGCTGCGACCGTATTGAATGAACCAATAGTAGAAGCGCCTTAGACCATGGCCGAATCCTGCTTCAGATTTATCAGTGTTTGACATGCAGCAGCCAGTTCTAAGAGGGTAACTGAGCTGCTCTGTTGGGCAGAAAACGTGTCCGGATGTCGGCCTCCTTGGGGAGTGGAGGCTGCATATGAATATAAGGCATTTGCATTGGTCTTCTGTGAGAGAACCGAGTTAAAAACGCCCACACTCGCGATTCACAATGCCGATATACGTGATGAAATCGTCGGATTACCTTTTGCACAACTGGAGGCACTGGAATCGAGTTCTGAGCAGTGATGAGTGCTCACCAAAAATCTGGCAGAACGTCTTCAACCTGTGATTAAAGGAAATATTCCTTGGATTCTTGGGCAAGATGAAGTTGGCGTAGCGTTCGTGACCGGAAGGACCCAGTTTGTGAAGGAGAAGTCGTTCCTTCCATGCGTCTTGCTAGGCAGTTAAATCGACAGAAAATAAATCCTCGTATCCTTTTTTTTTACCAGGCACCGAAAGCAATTTGGGTCTGCGGGTCAAACAAGAATTCAATAACGCTGTTGATGGAATCGATTGATCTTAAGCCGCCAGCAGATCTGGAGTGGCCTGTGAATGAGTTAAATAGATTTAAGATGATAATTTTCATCAGCTTAAGCTTCTATTGCAACATAAGCTTCCACTCCGCACACAGGTCGTCCAGCACAAATGAAAACCGCGTCGCCGATTTTTTACGACCCGCGCCTAGCACTATTAATTAGCACGAACGGTAAGTTAGCCGACCACGGTTCCCAAGTCCCGGTACAGAGGAAGCAAGAAAGAAAGAGCAAGCCTGAGACAGCGTGTATTCAGACAAAGCCTTTTAGCGCAATTCGTTCATACAAAAAGGCTGAAGGCATTTAAGTGGGAGCACGAGAGACATGGCCTGTGACAATGGACCAAATGGAATTGAACAGACATGGCTGGCAGGCGGCCAGGTAATTCGCGCGTCACCTTTGTGTGTGTAACTTATCATGGGAATAGCGGCATTCCCAACTGGGACTTCGAGTGACGCCGACTCTATTGCTGAATTATGGAATTCGACGGGTTTTGGTTAGACTAATTTGGGGCTAGATAGTAATCCGCATTTTTGGTGACTTTGACAGTTGGCACAAGAACAGGGTCAGATGAGTTCTTCATGTGAGTGCACGAACAGGGGAGCAAACAGTTTACGAAGCCAAAAATAAACAAAAAGAAAACGTTTCTTGGTGCGAATGGAATGGGGGAGGGATGGAATGGCCATTTAGTTCAGTATATTTAGGGAAGTAGGCAATGCCTTTGAAGACCCTATTGAAAACAGTATGCATGAAATATTTAACATAAAATATGTTACTATAAAAGTGTGAGTAACATGTATACATGTTCATATTTTAACGTGTCCGCGAGAGCATTCAGATTATCCCTTGTGTGGATAATACATTCAACATCAAATGTTACTATAAAATAGTGAGTAGCAGACACAAATGTAAAGTTTTATCCATAGATTTGTCCGAGGCGCAGATGACTCCTACTTCCTTGCGCATATGAATGGTAACTGTTAAGTAAATGTCCATCAGTTTCCGTTTGAATGAATCTGTGGAGTTGGCCATTACGACCTCCTCGGGCAGTCCGTTCCAGTCCGTTCTGGCCTACTAGTCGTCAGCAGCCAGCCATACCCAACCACAGGTGGCATACCACCGGCAGCTGCAGCCCGTTATCTGTTAGTTAGAAATGGAACGCTCTAACCATTGCGCCACGGGCTCGTTACCAAGTCACTTTAGATTGGAGATATTAATTCATCGCTAACTGAAGTCGCTCGTTCAGTTATGCCTTGGTGCTCGCCCTCGTGCTCTGACATCAGCCACTCAGTGGCTAGCTTATTAAACGACACTACCCAGCCATATCCATCTCAATTTGTTGTGACTTCGATATCAAACAGATCAGGAATCAAAATGACAATATTGTAGACCATACTACCTTCTTAAAGAATACCTGATAAGTATGATTCTCTATCTCTCTCCCTCCCTCCCATAGGAGCTCTTCATTTGGGCTGTTTTCTTCAATCGGCCCAAAATGGTTGATTTGTTTTGGCCCCTTGCACGTGAACCCGTGTCCGTGGGTCTGTTTGGCTGTAATCTTTATGAAAGAATACGCAAATACTTGCCCCTCTACGACACTGACGGTCGGCTGGACATGAAAAACCAGAAGCTGAAACTGGAGGCCGCCATCGTGCAGGTTGTGGACCGGTGTTATAAAGTGAATGCCGTGAGTACTCTGTCTATTGTGGTAAAACACAATGAGTCAGATGGGCGAGAGTTTGAAAGAACTCCGTTCTTGTGCAGTTGACTATCCCGCCTGCTCGCTACGAGTTCATTTGAAGTAGAGCAAATGCATATCCCGCAATGGGTAACGTAGATAATGTAACTAATGTAAATAAAATAAACAGGAAGTTTTCAGTGCGAACTTCTGTCCTCTTTAGTTTATTACAGAGGCCATTTAAACAGACATTAAGGCATTGCCTATGACCCCCGCTAAAACAAAAAGAATCTCACATGGCTTGAGTAACTTGCGGATCTTTGTATTTGGCAGAGCATGACAACCCATCTCCTTAATCGCCGGTCCGAGGATACCGACGACTGTACCTGCACTGAACTAGCAGCTCAAGCGCACTGCTTCAAATTCATGAGCTCCGTATCCGGTCACTACGCCGTCGATTTCGCTTGGTGTGCGGGCGTTAAGGCCAACGGGTTTGTGATAGTTTTGGCCTACTTCTGCCCGTTTCTCTTGCTCTCCGACAAACTATACCTCTTCGCTACGGAGTCCGTCAATTTGAAGGAGGCGGCCAGCAGGTCGGACATGAAATCTCTGGTGAGCACTGGCACCCAGGGTAACGAAGCGCTCGGTGAAAAGGCAGATGAAAAAGACGATGCGGACAATAATGTCGGATGCCTGAAGTTCGGTGAGAGGGTAAAAATATTCTACACCTCACCACGGACTAAATACTTCGTTAACTTGGTAAGACTTTGGTTTTGCTCTAAGACCAGTCGACCAAGATCTAAGCGATGGTGGGGCCTTGATAGCTCAGGTAACTAGACAGTTGGCATAATAGAGTGTTTCCCTTGCTGCAGGGTGTCCATAGTCTACCGCAGCCGCCGACGTTTTCACAACTTAGTTAAATGTACTATCTAAATCTGTCAAATCTCATAATACTAAAAATCGCCTTGTAGTCCTCTATCGGATGCTTGATTGATTGTTAAGGAAATCCTGCTTGGACAAGCAGTTTACTGTGTGCTTACTGTGGTGGATTGTACAAGTTGCAGTAAGCTGGGTGGGTCAATAAACCCAAGTGTGTTTAAACTGAAGGCTCACAGTGGGGCCTCGATAACTTAGTTGGCTACAGCATTGGCTGCAATGAAGCCTTCTCCTTGCTAGCGTAATGGAATTTGAATTATTGCCCTGAAATTTTTTAATAATCCAGTGTTCGGTGCCCCATAAATAAAAAAGAGAAATTCAACCAATTTATTTATAACTGATTTTATTTTTTTCTGGGTAGCTTTTGTTGTGTTTGTAGTTTATTATCATGGATAAGTGAAGTAAGTTGCGTTCTGAGATGATATGATGAGAAGAACGAAGAGCTTCGGAAAATCGAGTTGTACTCGTGAATTTTCGAACAAGTATCACGTGTTTGTCGCCAGACTAGATGAAAAGTGAGGGCAGTGAAAGTCGTACTAGAGGTTTGGGGGGCAGATTTTATAACGAACGGGGGGCGACTGAGTAGCAGGGTTACGGTGACGTGACTCCCGCGGCGATAGGTTGTGCTGGTGAGGGGAGGTGTTAACGTTTGGACTGTGGGCCACGTGTTCGGGGGAGGGGGAGCTGGTTCAGAGTCAGCGAAATTCTACTTGACCGAGCACGGACAACCTGGTGTTGTTTCAGGCTGGGTCCAGGTTAGTCGATCATGCACGAAAACCGGTATAGTCTACGTGCCTCTACATACTAGCTGGGCTGGAGTGCCCGCTTGTCGCGTATTAGCCATTGCGATCACATCGGTGCCATCCCAACTGAAGCAGTGATCACACTCAAGGGAGTGCGCAAATATGAGTGATAAGCGATCCCGTAGGCTAATGGCCGACTTATGTTCCTTGATGCGAGTCTCAAGGCGTTGGCCTGTTTGGCCAATATAAACACTAGGGCAACCAGCGCACGGTATTTTATTATTATGTTTGCGTTATTATTTGGGTTATTAATTAAATTTTCTTAGTTTTATTTAATTTTAGGAATTTTTCTCAGTTTACTTGCTTGAGTTTATTTAAATTTAGCTTTGTTTAGTTAGTTAAACGAGGTTAAATTTAATTTTTTTAGTTTATTTTAGATGTCTTAACCACATACAGTTGCTTTTCGAGTTATAAGCTTTACCAGTGTAGTTTACTTTAGTTAAATTAGTTTGGTTTACTAAACCTATATTTTAGTTCATTTTTTAGTTAATTGTTATGGTTTATTAGTTTTATTTTAATTTAAGATAAGTTTTTAGTTAAGCCAGTGAAAGCTACTTCAGTTAACCCTCCTTTAATTACTTGACTTTGGCATACGTTTGTTAGGTTTTAGTCTAGTTAGCTTAGAATATTTGGTTAAGATCTTTTTTTGTTATTTTACATTAGTTTTAATTTAGGTTTTGTTTCACTTTTAGATTTATTAGTTACATGTGGTTTCTTATTTTATTTTTCTACTCTACTTAAAGTTAAGCTCGAAAAGTCGTAGTTCTTTGTGTTGTTTCGAAAATGTGAGTAATTCCGATCTTCGCGTAGTTGCACCTCTTATTCATTGCACGCATTTTTCTACCAAAGAAATATTCTTGCGTTTTCTTTTTTTATACGTTCTACTCTTTTATTTAGATTTCCTTTCCTATTTACTGCGCTAACTGTATAATGTTTACTGCAACCGGCTCCGGATTATACAAGGATGGGGTCTTGGCGTGCCGATAAGGGACCTAAATCTAACTTTCACAACTGGCGTACATTCAAATCCCACCGAAGCCGCCGGTTTTCAAAATAAGGTCAAGTAGACTATTAAAATTCGTCAAAGTCTTCCTAAAAACAAGATATAGTCGTCCCACTTGCCCTCTAGTTGATACATATTTTAGTCGTTGTAGTACGGCTTTTGACGATCAGATTGTTCTGCTTTCAAAATCTGTCTGAAAGTATCTGACTGACGACAAATGCCATGCAAACTGGCTATGAACGATGTCACAGGCCGGCATACTTTGGATGGCTTATTGTAAGAGAGCTCCTTGTATGATCAACGGTTTTGGCATTTTATTATCCGCGCAGGGTTTAACATATTTTCGTCGCATGATGTATCCCTCAAGAACCCTAGAAAGCCTGGAAATCTGTGTACGGTTTTAGAACTGAACTACCGGCTTAAGTCACTTCGTTTTTTCTTGCTCTTTGGTGGAAATCTTGCCCCAAGGTCACAGGTAAATTTAGGTTTTTTTTACATCTGCATCATCTGATTTGGCGGACTATTGATAAAGAACTATTAGTAAACTGTGAAATGTTGTGTCGCTCACAGGCTGGAGGCAATTATAAGGCGTAAGCTAATGAAACCAAACACATATTGCTACGGCAAGAAATATCTGAAGCCGTCTGTCTATCTATAGCATCTGGTGCGGTTGTGGACAAAGCAAAAACTTCGGAGAAACCGGGAGAAATCTCGATACGCGAATTGTTGAACACGAGGCAGCAGTGTGTACAAATGACACCAATTCTCAAATCTTGGTTCACTCGACGGGGTCCCGCCGCTCAGTCAAACTTAATGAGGCTGAAACTGTCGCGAGGGGTGACAAGCATATCAGTCGTTGGTTACGAGAATCGTGGTTCACGGACCCCTTGTTTTGAAATAAGTACAACGAGATTAGACCAGCACTTTTATTTGCCTGACGTTTCGACATCCGTCATGGCATGCGGGCCCTCACTTGCTGAACTTTCATCATGCTCTGTGGAATTAGTCATGAGGACTGCTCTGCCATCTTGTTCCCCGGTGTTGGCTTAAGGCGACACGGCGGCGTTTGCGTCCCCCGTGCGGTGACTTGCTTTGGCTAAATTGAGCCTCAGCACTGAATATGGATTGGGCAAGTCATTGCATTTTTTTATGGATGGGGGCCCGTGAATCATGACTGAAGTAATTCTCACACGATTGTCACCTCTTGCTAGAATTTCGGCCTCATCAACTTTGAATGTGTGGCTGGGTGCCGTCAAATGAGCCGCAACTTTAAGGTGTTTTCAACAATACCTAAAACTAAATGTCTTACCATTAATTATAGATTTTTATATAGTCTCCAATTTTAAGAAGCAACACCGGTTAATAAGCAGTTCAGACTCATTCTCTGTTTTGTCTTCAGTTTGTCTACATTGTATTCCTCATGTACTACGCGGGCGTTTTGCTGTTCGCGTTTTATCCGGATCACATCAGTGTCTGCGAAGGGATCCTACTTATCTACCTCATATCCTTCCTTGTGGAAACCATTCGCAGTGTAAGTTTCAAACTAGGGCTATGAAACTGCCAGTTGAACAAAAATCTTGCTATGTCGTTGCTTATTGTATTTATTTTTGCTGTAGGTAATCAAGAGCCCACAAAGATCCGGCACTTGCAAATCTAGACTATCCAAATGGATCCTCTCGTACCGTTGGCATCCTTACGACATCCTCTTAAATATTATAAATATTATAGGATTCGTGCTACGAATAAATCCAGAAAAGCACTTCATCTACGCCAAAAGTGCTTCTGTTATCAGTTGTAAGTTTTTCGTTAACTGTGTAATGTTTTCTCGGAGGGTGGGTCTGAGACCATCACGGTGGAGAAGGCAGCCAGCTGACGCATTTTTCAGACACACCGTCAGCCCCGTGGTGGTTGTATCTGTAGGAGTGGACTAGGAGTCAGGTGATAACGGCTTGTTTGAATCCCCTGGCTGTGTAAATCCAGGTACTTGTGTGTTCAGGTGGCCGAGTCGTGCTGTGGCGCGCACAGACGTGTTCGCCGGCTCTGTAATCTACTACCCCTGATACCGCCTCTGGTCTTCTCGACTCTGTCTTTAGGCCGGGCTCAGGTGGGTTAGGGAGGAGCGAGTGTGATAGATGCAGCGAAAGTCTACTGTCAATTAAAGCTAATTCACTCACACCAGCCTGTTGTGAAGCGTACGGTTGACGGTGTCGAAATCGGCAACCAATTTTTTGTCGACAGAGGAGCTTTAAAAATAAGCAATGCGGTAGCAGAGTATTTGTATTTGACACCCTAGACTTCGTAGTTATAGCAATGTACAACGTTGCGAAGATTAATATGCCGTTCGCTTGATCCAAACCCGCGAGAGCTCAAGACGAGACGAATTCGACTCCTAACCTCCCAGTATTTACAATAATCCGCATCTACCATTCGACGTATTTTCACAATGCATTTAGGAGACGGTTTGTTTTTTCTCATTTCAACCAATCAAACATCGCAAAAGCTGAAGCTTACCGTTTGCCCGCAATAGGGTGGCTGCAGGGATGATTAGGTGCACGAATAATAGTTCATAGTGGTAATAGTCTTGCGTTGAATACACCGCACTCTCTTCACCCTCACCCAGCAGAGTCCTTTGTCAAGAATGTTGGAGGTGAGATGGGGCACAGTAACTGACAACGCTTAACAATCCGTCTGCGAGTATCTGGTTATTGCCCGATTAAATCAGTCTTCACAGAAAAAAAAGAGTTTTCGTTTCTCATCTCGTCGGATTGGGAGCTTTAATGACTAACTTATTCTACCTAGTATAGTGTTTGAAGCCTTTCTTTAAGCTTGCACTGTTGGTACCTCTTCGTCGGCAGTCGGAGTAGATGGTTCGCGTTTAAATCCATAAAATATTACTTTCCATTCAAATAAAAAGGCAGTTAGACGTCAAATGATTATTGTCGGATGTACCACTTAAAGACCTTATTTTTTTCCCGGCGTCTCAAACCAGCTTCCTACCTGAAATAATCCTTCAACCGTTGGTACTCTGTACCGAAAATGTTCAACTACTGTTTAATGGACAACTCTTCAGAAGAGTTAATGAAGTCGCGATGCGAAGTCCGCTGGGGCCAACATTCGCTGACATATTCAGAGATCACCTAGAAAAAATGTAAGCAAGACAAAGTATGACAACAGGAAGACGATACGTGGATGCCAACGACCTTAATTTAATGAATAACCTACATCCGAGAAGTAAATTTGCAACTGAAACGCAGCAGTGCAACAAGGTGCCATATCTAGACGTCGTCATGTTAAGAAAGGATGATGGTTCAGTGGGCTGCATGGTATTTCACACAAATACCTGGAGGAAACCTCCACTTTACCAGTCTTGGACTAGTACAATGGAAGCGAAATCTTGTATATGCTCCCTTTCAGAGAGCAAGGAATATTTGCTGTAGTAAGACTCAACCTGCGGAGAGTTCCCGCATCAAGGTTGCCCTACTTCACCGTGGCTTTCCTGCGCATTTCATACAAAAGCCTGTTATCATATCTTTATGCTTAAAGGCTGGTAATATTTCGAATAAAATCACGCGAAGGTTGAGTTGTACGACAGAAAGGACATAAAACACAGCTGAACGTTTTTTTCATCAGGCCCACTTAAAATCTTCGATTAAAAGAGGCAAAAGAAGCCTTGCCGTTGCACGCCCCTCAAATTTTATTTATGAATTTATGTGCAATTGCGGAAGCAAGCACATTAAGCGTACGTTAAGGCAACTGGCAGCCAGAGTCGATGAACACTTGCCAAATTGACTTTTCAAGCAAGAAGACAGAATGCCACGTTCATCGATTACGAAACACCTGCTAGACAATGATCACTCTGTCAACCTCAAAACAGGTTTCCGAATAAGCGTTCGGGCACGAACAAATCGGACCCTGCACTACTTAGAAGCGGCCCTTATACGGGAGGAGAAACCTGACCTGTTCAAGCAGCTAGACTAAGTGTTCAATCTCCAATTACTCACGCAATTGGTCAGCTACTTTTAATAATGACTTGACTTGCGTCTACTTTCTCTCCCCCTTTAATGTAGTGCCCTCGGTTACTCACTTTTTACACTTAATTATGACCCTTGCTGTTATAAATTTACATTCCGTGAAATTCAATCTGTTGTATGCTTCTAACCGTTATCTGATTCATGCAACGGTGGGATGCGTTAAAAAAGCCGTCGCGAACTTTACTGAATTCAATCAATCCTTCTGTCTAGGCTGGAGGTAAATTCGTACTGGGGATTAAATGCTTCAATCAAAGTTAAAACTTCAACCTGCGTTTGTATACTTCGAATTTTACTACAGTTTTCATGCGCGCAACCTGATTGGGATGTTTTCTGAATCAATATTTCCGACATACAATTAGACATATTCTTCTGCGTCCGTATCTTCCAATTCTACTCCCATAATCACAATCTCGGGCCCAAGATTACAATGATTGTTCAAATGTTCAAAGAACTTCTATTCTTCATGCTCATCCTCGCCGTCTTTGTTAAATCCTCGGGTGTGGCAATGCAGACTCTTTTGTATCCCTACCGGACGTACTTTGATGCCCCAGTTCTGCTGGACGTTGTCTACAATCCGTATTACCGCATATACGGCGAACTGAACCTCGATGAGACGAACGGTATGTACAAATTGCTTACCCACATCCTTTGAAGAAATAATGAAACCTTATTGCTTTCTAGGTGAAGGAGAGACAGTATGTATTTGCGCTGTCAACCGTATAGCACACGTATGCAGAAATTACATTTAAACGTTAACTGGCAAATTTACAAATGTGGAATTTAGATTTTGTTCTGAGAGAGAGCATTGATGAATCTGCGTAGCAATTCCTTTGAATAATACGAAGCGAACCGTGCCTAGTACTTTTAATTAGCACGAACGCTGAATTAGCCGACCCCGATTGCCCAAGCCCGTTACGAGGGAAGACAAGAGAAGACAAAGGCCGCGGGGCAGCGTGTAATCAGACAGAACACGTAAGTTGGAGTCACTGTCACACAAAGGCTGAATGTAGTTAAAGGGGAACGTGAGAAACATAGCCGGAACAATGCGCCAATCAGCAATGAGTAGACAAGACTGGCCACATCGAGGCGCTCGCGAGGCTTTTGTGTGTGT